AAAACAAAAGATCAGAGATTTAGTTTTTTCGAAGAGTTATAGAACTTCGTAACGAAAGTGACAACATTTTAAGCGTACAAGGAAGAGCATGTATGTAAAACAGTCTTGTGGCCTTCACGCATCTTGAGTGGATTCGTGTTAACTCCCGACATTTGCGATTATGCACGCGCTCAGCATACGTGTTGCAACTTTCGTTTCTATTCTATCCACAAATGCATTCATATTTCACTGGATAATCTTTGGGTTCATTGATCTGAAAAATGAAACGATATTAATTTCAATTTCCTTTCGAAATTCATTTTTGAGTTCATTAATCATCAATTCGTAAAGATGGATTAATGAAACGATATTAAAATTTTTCTATAGTAAAAAATAAGGTTATAATTAAAGCAGAGAAAGATATTTTGTTATATTATTTGTTGTAATGTAACGCGATAAAAATTAAAATTAAAGCTTGAATAAAATAATTAATAATAGATGTGTGTTCGATTTACAAAAAGAGAATTACGATAAAAGATTTGATTTCGTTCCGGAGTACCGGAAAACCGATAGAATAACTCGATTCGTGAAGCGTGATTGTATGCTCTCCTCTTACTTTTCATATTTTATTCGAATCATTTCGCTCTCTTCCGGTAAGATACAACAAGGAAAAAGAAAATCTTCGATTCGATACATTCGATTTTATATACAACGAATAACGAACTTATATTGTCTCGAATCTCACATTTAAATAATCGAATTAGTAATACTAATTGTATATATTATATCATATTAATTTCACGTTATGAAATTTTAAGTTCATTCAATTACAATTAATAATAAGTTATATAGTAAGTAGATATAATTTATTGAATGCAACAGGATACGTGAAAAATTAATTACTCACGTCTATTTGTTTTATTTGTTTATTTATGATTATTTAAGTTCAATATGTGCATAACCGCATTTAATTGTTGCAATAGGGTCGTTGCATGGCGGTAACCTTTGAATGGGTTCTCCACATGGGAAACGTGTCTTTGAATCGCATTCCTTATCGATGGCTTCAGCGTTTTTTCCAACGATGCAATCGAGTGTACGCTTTTACGAGCAACGAAGAAACATAGTTACATTCATTGTCGACATGAATCTTCGCAACACTTTTATTAGCTTTTCAAACACT